ATGGTACCCCCTCCCCCCCATCCCTCTACCCACCAACTGTGACACCAGCCGGGGCCCAGCCTGCGCAGCCCACCCCGCTCATCTCCCGGCCCCCTCCTTCCGTGTCCCCCCCACTCCCCAAGTGCCTGCAGATGGAGCGATACGTGATCCGGCCGCCGCCCATCCGCCCCCCACCCGACTCGCTGCCCCTGGACGACGGGGCGGCCCACGTCATGCACAGGAACATGTGGATGGCCGTCTTCAGCTACCTCAGCCACCAGGACCTGAGTGTCTGCATGCGGGTCTGCACCACCTGGAACCGCTGGTGCTGTGATAGGCGGTTATGGGCCCGCATCGACCTGAACCACTGCAGGCCCATCACGCCCCTGATGCTGAGCGGCATCATCCGGCGCCAGCCCGTCTCCCTGGACCTCAGCTGGACCAATATCTCCAAGATCCAGCTGAGCTGGCTCATCCGCCGTTTGCCAGGGCTCCGAGACTTGGTGCTGGCAGGCTGCTCGTGGATCGCGGTCTCGGCCCTCTGTACCTCCGGTTGTCCGTTGCTCCGGACCCTGGATGTCCAGTGGGTCGAAGGGCTGAAGGATCCCCAGATGCGGCATCTCCTGTCTCCGCCCACAGATAACAGGCCAGGTCAGATGGACCATCGGAGCAAGCTCCGCAACGTCGTGGAACTGCGTCTTGCGGGCCTGGACATCACCGACGCCTCCCTGCGGCTCATCAGCCGCCAGCTGCCCCTGCTCGCCAAGCTCCACCTGAGTTACTGTAACCACGTGACTGACCAGTCCATCAACCTGCTCACTGCAGTGGGCACCACCACCCGGGACTCCTTAACAGAAATCAACTTGTCAGACTGCAATAAGGTCACTGACCAATGCCTGTCCTTCTTCAAACGCTGTGGAAACATCTGTCATATTGACCTGAGGTACTGCCAGCAGGTCACCAAGGCAGGCTGTGAGCGGTTCATCGCTGAAATGTCTGTGAGTGTCCGGTTCGGGCAAGTGGAAGAAAAACTCCTGCAAAAACTGAGTTAGTCCAAGGACTAGTGTGTAAATACGGGGTGGGTGGGGGGAGGGAAAAACACTTTCCAGAAACGAGGGCTTTTCTTTTCAATTTGAAACTTGGAACAACAGACCACGGGATGATCCCATTTGGCAAGTCTTGCCAAGGCAATGCCGATCCACCACCCGTTTGGGGGATGAGTGATCCGGACATTTGGGTTATTATGAATAGTAAGTGCACTGCTTTCTGGACCATTTCTAAGGCGGCCTTTACCAAGAAGACATTCCTGTTGGAGAGGAGGAGGAATTTTGGAGAAATTCTTTTACTGAAAGAACTTAGGAGTTTACTGAAGCATGAACTTAGGAGTTTATCTGTTTTTGTGTGTGGGGTTGTTTTTTTTTGTGGTGGTGTTTTGTTCTGGACACCTCATTCCTTGCAACGCCAGGGTTTTGGTGTCAACATGAAGTGGACAACACATCTGCGGTCTTGACATATTTTGCTTGGTTTTGTTACATCTTACAATATGAGGAATCATTTTTGTACAAATTGTTTCAAAGTTATTTATGCAAGGTGTGACTGCATACCAGTGTTTTTATTGTTTTGTGATTGCCAACTTTCCTGGTTTCCTTAAGGTAGGCGGGAACTTGCCCTGGACTTCATCAACACAAATACCCCATCTAGACATGTGCCCAGACCTGGCAGAGCAGGCCGAGACCTTCCGGTTAAAGCATGTTTACCTGGAGGCGGAGAGCCTGCTTTGGACATTAAGAAATTACATAAGCATGTTGTGCATATATGTAAAGTGTAGTGGAAATGAGATATGTTGCCAAGGTGCCCCTGTATAGAATTCACCCTTTTCTCAAAAATTTTAAAATGGAACTTCAGCCTTTGCACTCAGGAGGGTTTGCTCCAGCATGAACTCTTGGACTCTACATAGATCTAATTTATACGGTGAGTCAAGAAGTAGAATAAATGACCCAATGTGGCCTTTCTTTTCCTTTTCTCTGTCCTTTCAAGTGTGAGCAGAGTTCTCTTTTCCGGTTTATAACATGGCTATTTCCAATTGTAAAGATATGCATTCATAAGTGCCATAGTTGTTTGGTGGTGTTTTCCTAGACCTAGACTTTCCCGACTCGGTTTTACCTTTGTTGAATTTGTATAAACAATTGTACAAAAAAAAAAGTATAGTGATTAAATACAAAGTTGATATCTGTGCTTAAGGGAAAAGTTAAATGAATGTATTTAATCTTGCTACCTTGCTTTTGGAAAATTTGTCCAAAAGATACTGATAGTAATCTGTCCTCCATAAATGACTAATATTCATTTTTAAAACGTACTTTTGGTTGACAGGCTAAAATTATACTTTCATTCAAAATATAAAAGCAGGCGTTGCAAATATATTTCAAGTGTCAATTTCTAACTAATTGGTAATAGCTATGTACATGTCGTGTTCAGAGATTTTGAGGCTGAGTCTGGCTTAGGAGAAAGACTGCTATCATTGGATAATAATTTTTCCAGGAATGCTAGATGGGAAGTGAACATGTAAGTCCTTATGTTTGTCTTCCCTGCATATTGGAAGAAGTTTTAACATTTAAATATCTTTTCAGCAATTACCAAAACATACTAGCCTACATTAAAAAGAGCATTTGCTTAAAAACAAAGGCCAAATCAATGCTTACCATTTTATCTATCCTGTAGGTCAATGCATCACGTCAAGAAGCCAAATTGATGGAGGAGTGTGATCTTCTTATTGAGATCATTCAGCAAAGAAGACAAATTATTGGAACCAAGATCAAAGAAGGGAAGGTATGATTTCTAGGGCAGAAGATTTCATATTCTCTGGCTGGAGAAAATATCATACTTCTATGCACTTTAGTAGCTTAAGAAATATTGAATATCTCCTTGTTCTCTATTTTCTATAATCTCCTTGTTAGTCTTTAAGACCTAGTTCAAAGCCCCTCATTTGGCCATTTTTTTCTCCACCCCTTTCTTTGTATTATCATGGTCTCCTATGCACACCCAACTCTAGGAGGCAGCATGAAGCTCTGGTCTATTATGGCCACTGTTTCCCATCTCTTTCCATAGAGGAAAAGTTCATTTCATATTTATTGCTAGGTCCTAGCAATGAACACAGTATTAAATAAATGTTTAAATGAATCAGACATTATACATATGTAAAAAGTAGAAGTGCTTGCTCATGTCCTCGAGGGAATTTAGGTATGTATAATTTCATGGTGGCAAAACGCCTATAGTTTCACTATATCACATACCCCTTTGTGGATATGTTAATAGCATTTCTTTCTAATGTTTGATATTTAGTTTTTTGTGTGTTTTTTAGATCTTTATTGTTTGCATATTTAAATTTCCTATGGTTTTACAGTAACCTATATTCAAAAAGCATTTTACACATTTATATTATATTCTTTATGACCACTTTCTTTACTTTTTTTATTTTATTGTTTAAAGTATTACCAAAAGTAGTACATATGTCTCCTTTTTCCTCCATTGGTTATGCTTATATACGTGCATACAAGTCCTTTGGTTGATCCCTTACCTCCCCCGCAAACCTCCCCAGCCTTCCCGCTGTAGTTTGACAGTCTGTTCGATGCTTTTCTTATTTATTCAAAATTAATTCAGAAACCATTGGTAACTTTAAAATCATCACTTTCTTTTAAAATTACTTATATTTATATTGAAATACTTATGATCCATTTTATTTTACCCATTTCTCTGCCACCCTCAAAAGACAATATTGTAAATATTTAAGATAGAAACATTCATTCAAGATACAACAGATTCATGAATTTCTTTTATTATTGCTCATAATAAAATGCGTATAATTAAATCAAATTAGCAAGTGTTGAGTAGTACACAGAGATTACAATAGCCAATGTTGTGTTCTGTTTTCTACAGAATTTTAAAGGTACTTTTAATATTACCTAATGTTTAGATTACTTTTCCTATATAGATTGAAAAATACTTCTACATATACCTTGTGATGGTGATCAGAAAAGTCGAAGTCAAATCAAAGCAAATCGTTGTTGAAGCTGTTACAGTGAATTAACAAATGAATATGTAATTGTTCTCCGGCCAAAGACTGACTCAGATGTGTAGAGAAGCTGCTTTCCCCACATACAAATTGTACAACTTAGAAGGGCAGCTGAGTATCAGGCCAGAACCCTTACAGGATACATTTCCTCTTCCATCATCATGCACCACATGTCTGTGTCTCTTAATACCTGACGTCTTCCAGGTTCTCAGACACGTGACTCCTGAAATGCAGCTGTAATTAATTATTCATCTGCATATGGAAGGTAATTTGTTGCCTTTACCTGGTCGTGTGCAGGGACCAGCTCTCAATGCTCATATTCGTTTCTTATTGCTGCTGTAACAGATAACCATAAACTTGATGGCTTGGAACAGCACAGATTTATTATCTGTTCTTCTAGAGATCAGAAGTTCAAAATCAGTCTCATTGGGCTAAAGTCAAGATTTTGGCAGTGCTGTTTCTTTCTGTAGGTTCTGGGGCAGAATCCACTTCTTGCTTTTCCTGCTTTTAGAGGCCACGCACATTCCTTGGCTCATGGCTTCTTCATCATATCATTCTGACCTTTGCTTCCATCCTCAAATCTCTTTCTCTGACCCTGACTCTCCTGGTTCTTTTAGAACAGTGGTTCTCACCCTTCTGGCCCTTTAAATACAGTTCCTCATGTTGTGACCCAACCGTAAAATGATTTTCGTAGTTCCTCATGTTGTGACCCAACCATAAAATTATTTTTGTTGCTACTTCATAACTGTAATGTTGCTACTGTTATGAATCGTAACGTAAATATCTGATATGCAGGATGGTCTTAGGCGACCCCTGTGAAAGGGTCGTTCGACCGCCAAAGGGGTCGCGACCCACAGGTTGAGAACCGCTGTTTTATAAGGACCCTTATAATTCCATTGGAATCACCCAGATAATCCACTAATATGATCAGAATATTGAGATTTGGTAAAGCTGGTACTGTGTACAGGAAAGTTGATCGTATTCCTTTTTAAACTGAAATGTATCACTTTTTAAAAAGTGCATATTTGCTCATGGACATTATCTCAGAGGGAAATATTAGAAAGCAAATGTTACCTGGAAAAGATCAGTGCCTGGTTGAGCTTTCTCTTGAGTTACTTGGCACATGACCAAGGACTGGTTGATCCCAAACCCCAGAATTCACAGTGGCTGAGTCCCTGGCCAGGGCATGTGGTATCAGTTATGTTTTGAAGAAAAGAAGAGCTGGGCAGAGAGGGTGAGTATGGCTTTGGTGCCCTGTGAGGATGCCCAGGGTGGTGGCTGGACAGGCTGAGGACACTGAATCTAGAGAAGGGACAGCACCTGGAATTGGGTAGCTGGAGATAGAACTGGCGGAATCGTGGAGACCACAAAGGTGAATTTCACCTACTTGGTGAGTGCCTCCATCATCTTTGGTGCCAATCACAAAGCCATTAGGCCTGGTGGGCATAAGCTCACCACAAATCCTCGCACCGGGGAGGTTGCCACGCTGGCAATGTTGTTGCACATTAGTACATACTGGTCATTCCTGTTCTCAGAACATGGTGCATTCTTTGAAATAAATAGCTCAACAGCCTTTATACTTAGATGAACTGCATGAGGGTCTCGAGCCATGAGACACCCTGGGAAAGAATTGTCTTATTTCTTCAGTAGTAGGGGATACATTTCATATCAACACATGAAAAGCTGATGGAAAATTCCAGATTAAGCAAAATATGCATTTTATGTTCACAGATCTAAGATAGAAGGTCGCAGCTAAAGAGAAAACGGGTCCTTCTCTTCACTGCTTTTATGTACTCTAACTCCCCAAAATTTAAGATGATTAACTTGGACTAAATGTTCAGGCTTTTCTGAAGCCTTACAGAAATGCTGAGTACGGACTTCATTGTCGGCTCAAATACTTGTGTCAATCGAGGATCAATTATTTGGCCATAGCAATATTGGGATAGGAATCCTACACACATATATAAGCGTTTAAAATACATTTAAAGAAAAATCAAGGACTACTTTTAAAAGCATATTTAAGGTAATAATAAACAACCAATAAAATGACATAAATAGGTCTATGTCCCCACTAAAAGGACATTCCAACAGAGAATATTTCCATGATGAGTATGGAATGATTTCCAAAAATTCACTGTGGCAATCACACTGCCCCAACAGTGCCAACTCAGAAAAGTTTCTCCTGCAGCAGTGATACATACATACATACAGAGAATCTTATGTATTAGTATCTAGTTATTTCTTTTAAAAAATTTCACCCTGGCCAGGGTGGCTCAGTTGGTTGGGCATCGTCCCATGCACCAAAAGGTTGCCGGTTCAATTCCCAGTCAGAGCACATGCCTGGGTTGCAGATTCAATCCCCGGTAGAGGGAATGCAGGAGGCAACTGATCAATATTTCTCTCTCACATCAATGTCTCTCTCTCTCCCTCTCCCTTCCTCTCTCTTTAAAAGTCAATAGAAATCTTTTTTTTTTTACAAAATCATATTTCATTTTGTCAGATTTTTCAAATAATACATTAAAAAGTGGTTTATAATGAAGAAATGAGTATTTTGCTAAATGCTCAGTGTCTGATTCTGAAGTGCTGTACCATGTAGGACAGTGTTTCACCGAGTGTGGTGCAAATCAGTGCCATCTGATCAGAATCATTGAAGTCAGCAAACTTTTTTTGTAAAGGTACAAGCCAGATTATAACTATTTTAGGCTTTGCCATATGGTCTCTGTTGCAACAGCTCACCTCTGCCCAAAGTTGTAGTGTGAAGTCAGCCATAGATTCAAAAATGAATGAATGTGGCAGTGTGCCAATAAAAGTTTATTTATACAAATAGGGTTCGTGCTGGATATGGCCCACAGACCATAGTTTGGGAACACCCAACTTAGAACAATGGTTTTCTCTTTTCTTTTTTTAAATGAAACCTATAGTAAGAAATACATGTGACATCAAATTCAGCATAGACAAGCAATAACAAAAAAAGGTTTTCTAAAACATAACTTGCCCTTTCTACCAGAAATGCACTCTGCTACTTTTTTTTCTCCTCCCCTCTCCTCTTCTATTTAGTTTTTTTTTAATGCTAGCCCTGAGCATACTAATGATTCATCACCTACAGTTCAAAAAGCTTTCATTGCTTGTTAAAATGCTGATTCCTGCTGCTCTGCCAATTACAGCTCCTTACCTAGGACATTGGAGAGGGACTGCAAACAACTCATTTTTCCTTTAAAAAAATCCCCAGCTGATTCTTGTGCACACTGGGCTTGAAAAGTTCCAGTCTGGTCTATTGGATGGAATTGTACACTGAACTAAAATTAAAATTATGCCAACAATTGTTTTCTGTAAAACATTCCCATATTTTCAAAGGAGGCTCTTATTTTGGCTTGCTTCAACTTATGCATGATTTAAGGCTTCTTTTCTTTTCCACTTATGTCACTTTTCATTTCCAGTATCATGACTGAAGAAAAGAAAGAAGAAAATGGAGTTCAAGCATTGTTACATGTGTGAACTGTGTGGTCACTAATAGGCATGCCAAAAGGATAAGTGATTGACATGAAGTTATTCTAAGGGAATATTTTGACTTTCTTTTTCTTTTGTTAGGATTGTATTAAACATCTTCAGTTCTGCCATATAATTGAAAGCATTCTTTATGTTGTATAATTAAATATTCCATGTACTTGCTTTATTCTAGGGCAGTGATGGCAAACCTGTGACACGCGTGTCAGAGGTGACACGCGAACTCATTTTTTGGTTGATTTCTCTTTGTTAAATGGCATTTAAATACATAAAATAAATATCAAAAATATAAATCTTTGTTTTACTATGGTTGCAAATATCAAAAAATTTCTCTATGTGACACGGCACCAGAGTTAAGTTAGGGTTTTTCAAAATGCTGACACGCCGAGCTCAAAAGGTTCGCCATCACTGTTCTAGGGACTTGAAGTCATTTTTCCTTCCTCTGACATTTTCTCATGGACATGTTCTCATATCTGGAATTAGACTCTGGCTTTCTTAGCTTTACCTCTGGATATAATGATGTTAGAAGCTCAGTTCTCCTTGGTGTAAAATGAGTGTTCTTGCATTCAACTAATGAACACAGTTCATCTACTGCAGGTGGCCACTATAATCATAATGAGGGAAGTCTTCTACCAGGTTTGAGATCACATCTTGGTTGCCCCAAAGTTTGGACACTTCTTTCCTTAAATCTTTACTTTCAAGAACTTCTCTCACTCTGGCCTGAAATCTTGTGGCCGCTGCCTCTCCATTCAGCATTCATTTCCTCTGTTTTCCGTAGTGCGACAGAGCTGGAATTGGACGTTCCTCGGAGGCCCCCAGCTCTGACACCCCCTTCCTTCCTTTCCTTCGATTAGACTTGCATGGGGATGATAACGATGACTTGGAGAAAGCAGGAATTTCTTGGAGTGAGCAGGAATTCTGGAGGGAGCCTGAGCCAGCCTTGTCTGCAAGACAGATGACCCGGCCTCCTCCCTAGCCTTTCACCCGGGGCTGTTTTCCATTCCGGAATGATCGGAAAGCCAGCCAAGACCTGGCCCCGGCTGTGTGGACTGGGGCACTAGGCACCCGGCAATTCCAATTAGCGGTCTAATTTTATCTTGGCTTCTGGCCAGAGGGCTTCATCTCGCAGCACATTGCCAACGCCAGAGCCAATGGTCAAGTGGGTTATGGTGGACTTATCTTGGCCTGCCCCAGAGGTGATGGTCAATTACGTTGGAGGGTCCTTTTCAAGTAAGACAGAATCGGGGGTTGGAATGAAGGCTGGAACCAAGCGTGCGTTTTTATCCCGACTGGGAAATGCTTATCAAAACAGTTCTTAGTTATCAAGTGAGCACGAAGTGCCTGGAAATGACGTTCCCAGGGAGGGGAAATGGCCCAGCTGTGCTTTTTTTGGCTTTCTCTCATCTGCTCAACAGGAAAAATATTAATCAATTGAAAAAATGCTCACTTTCTGTTCATTTAACTCGTGAGTTTTAGATAGTGTGGGGAACTCGTAATACCTAATGTTTTTATATCACAGTTTTATACCATGGGTTGCAAAGAACTTTTGACAAAATGGCTTTTACTGTACCATAGAGATGTGATGTTTTCTTGATGGCAGAGCTGAAAACGAAGACACAGTTCCAGCATGCTCTGCGATCTTACTGTAATGGTGTGTAGTAGTCACGGGAAGCGGCCTGGTGACCCTCGGTAACTTACCACTGAGCAACACCTTCCCCCCATCAACAGGGAAGCAATTCGCAATTCAGTGTTTCTTCATAAAACAAATTAGCAACACTTCTCCAAGGAGATAAAGAATATCTAAGACAGTGGTTCTCAACCTTCTGGCCCTTTAAATACAGTTCCTCATGTTGTGACCCAACCATAAAATGATTTTCGTTGCTACTTCATCACCATGTTGCTACTGTTAGGAATCGTCATGTCAATATCTGATATGCAGGATGGTCTTAGGTGACCCCTGTGAAAGGGCTGTTCGACCGCCAAAGGGGTCGCGACCCACAGGTTGAGAACCACTGATTAGAGCAGAGTCCCAGAACAGATCGCTGTATCTCCCTATCTCCCTAAGCCTACGTTTTGAACTTGTATTGAAGGATGGCTTACATACAACCAAATCCGCGCGTCAGAAGGGTCCAGCCGATGCACTTTCACTACACGAGGAGACTCGTGTAACGCTCTCCATGCTTCTCTCCAAGGTGATGAGGCTTCGCAAGCTGGCCCAGCAGATTGCCAACTGCAAACAGTGCATCGAGCGCTCGGCCTCCCTCATCTCCCAAGCGGAGCACTCGCTGAAGGAGAATGACCACGCGCGGTTCCTCCAGACGGCGAAGAATATCACTGAGAGGTGAGTGCGGGGCCGCTGGGAAGTTCGCTGCGGAGCTGTGTCTCGGGGGTGATTGGTTGGCCTTGCCCTCGCCTTGCTTTTGTTTTCATTTTCAAGGCTGAGTAGGGACAGAATAGACGCTTTGAGTTGCTTTGTTCCCACTGAAGATGCTTCCCTTTGACATGTCAGGGACTTTTCAGTAGCAGCCTGGAGTTCAGGGCCTTTGAAATAAGAGGCCACCAGTTCGAAAGAATAAAATCGGCCTGCTTTTGAAGGAGGGGGGGAGAACTTATGAGGGCACAAAAACAGCACGCATTGTGACTCTCAGACCTGATCTTATCATACTCTTGATAGTAAAGAATCAGGAAGAAGCAGAAACATAAAAGGGAATCTTTTCTTCCATTTCAAGGCTCATCTACTGAAGAAAAATGGGCCAGGTGTTCTCTGTTAGGCCTGTTCTATTTGGTTGAGAAGTTTCACCTCCTGAAAAGGTCAAGGCCAACTCACATGGGAGAGAAAGGACCAAACTGTCCACCTCATACCTTCCACTTTTAAAATACACTTTATTCCAGGATAGGAAACATAAAAATGATATCACGTGACTGTTCAGTTGGGCAGTAAACCTGGCGTGGTGAGTGCTCCTTCAGTGCGTGTACTTGATCGGCATAAACATTACTGACCTTCACTGGTGCCAGCACCTGTAGCCATCCCAGTGGAGCCCAAGCAAAGCACCTAACACCACCTTAGTGACATCTCCATAATCAGTGCAGATGGCCTTGACCTTTTATTCATTCTAATTTTCACAGTCAGCTGCCCCTTAGACAAAACAACCGAATCCTATTGCTAGAAGACGCCAGACAGCTCCTTCATGCTGGTCTTTCTCCCCGAGCAGGAGTCTGCAAACTTTTTCTGTAAAGGACCAGAGAGTAAATACTTTCAGCTGTGCTGATTATAAGGTCTCAGTCACTACTTAACTCTGCCGCTGTAGCCCTACAACAGCCTATATAGATAATATGGAAATGAACGGACGTGGCTGTGTTCCAGTAAACCATTTAAAAAACGGGGTACTGGGGGGTAATGTGGGGATAAGGACACATATTTAATAACCTCATCAATAAGACATTAAAAACAAAAACAGGCTAGATTCGGCCCACGGGCTGTACTTTGCCAACCCCTTGTCCAGGAAAAAAAAAAAATACCATCTTAGGACTTGAATTTCTTCAAGGAAGGAGAAAGAAAACTAACATTTATTGACCGGAATCGAACCTGGGACCCTTGCGTCTGCAGGCCGATGTTCTACCCATTGAGCCAAACCAGCTAGGGCTGATGCATGGTTTTTGAAGTGTGTTCTGCAGGGTGTTAATTGGCATTAAAACAACACCAAGGTCGAGGAGCCAAATGCATTTGGGAAATCCTGAGCTGACCAAAGTAGGCCATGTTCGGTTTCTGTGAGACCTCATCAGGTTTTACCACGGTAATGTGCCTTGTGGACTGCCCACCTGAGAGAGGCACAGTTAAGCACCGTTGGCAAGGGTTGGGCACAGAGGTGGGGATATTAGGCAGGAAGGGTAGAGCGTCTTCCCCTGGCACTGGCTGTTCGGCAGAAACCTGTGAGCAGTGTAGCTCTCGACATATCCACCTTCTGGAAAAGTAGCCCCATGTGACTGCTAGCAACTGAGTGTCATGGAGATTAGGGGCATCAGAGTAGACAGAAACAGGGAGTAATGTGCAGCTCCCCCCGCCCTCCCGTTAAGCATCAAGCTGTGACACTATGCCCTCATTTGCCCCGATACTGTAAAAGCTTAGTGCACATACCCACAGGCATGCACACACGTGCACTCACATACGTGCATGCGTGCGCGCGCGCGCACACACACACACACACACACACACACACAGTCATGAGTGTAAAAGGGAGGAATTGAGAAAGTGGCTTACACTGATGGCCCAGGTGGATTTTGGCAACTTATCTGAAAGGCCAGAAGATGGGCAACAAGGATTTGGGGAATAAAAACACAGCCTAAAATATTGAAATTGGCAGAGCTCCCCTTGGCCGTCACTCCAATTAAGAATTTGAAATTGTAGCCAAAGATAAATATCTTGCCTTCCATAAAAAAATGTGTTGGTGTTAAAAGCTGCAGTAATCTCCAAAGAGCCTTGCTGTCAGTCTTTGCCTCCCAGGCTTAGGAGCTTTCAGCCTTTCCATTCCCATTCCCCAAAGTTCCCACCATCAAGATGGCAGGCGTTTTTAACAGTGTCCCTGGACCGAAGCAGGCTTTATTTCATTGCGTGTGGCCCATAGAACCAGCAGGAGCTTAGGAAGGAAATCTATTTTGGATGAGCCTAAACAGAGGCTTCTGCCACTGGACAGAAAAAGTGCCAAAGCAAGATTATCTGTTGAGAGCAATTGAGATCCTCTAACCCAGCGGTTCTCAACCTGTGGGTTGCGACCCCTTTGGGGGTCGATCGACCCTTTCACAGGGGTCGCCTAAGACCAACCTGCAGATCAGATATTTCCATGACGATTCATAACAGTAGCAACGTTACAGTTAGGAAGTAGCAACGAAAATAATTTTATGGTTGGGTCACAACCTGAGGAACTGTATTTAAAGGGCCAGAAGGTTGAGAACCACTGCTAACCTGTTGAGCACAAGATCTGTGTTACGTGTGTATGTCAGGGAAACACAATAGAAAATTAGGCGCTTGTTTCATAATAACTCATTGCAATTCTCCCTACTGGACATCGTGACACAGAATCAATTGGGGTTTCACTTTGAATTTTCTATTTGAGGAGTTCAGTGGGCACTATAGCATTTCTTTGTCTTCATTTTATTTTTCAGTTAGAGTTTACATTCAGTATTATGTTGTATTAGTTTCAGGTGTAGAGCATTTCTTTTTTCCCCAAAAAAATACTTTTATTGATTTCAGAGAGGAAGGGAGGGAGGGAGGGAGGGAGGGAGAGAGAGAGAGAGAGAGAGAGAGAGAGAGAGAGAGAGAGAAACATCAATGATGAGAGAGAATCATTGATCATCTGCCTCCTGTACACCCCCACTGGGAATTGAGCCTGCAACCAGGCATGTGACCTTGGCAGAATCAAACCCGGGACCCTTCATCCGCAGGCTGACGCTCTATCCACTGAGCAAACCAGTTAGGGCTAGAGCATTTCTTTTTACTTTTCTGCATTGTTGCAAATTCTTTGGGCTCTTCAGTACATGGCATACTTTAAGGGCTTAGTAAGTATTTGTTGAACAACACTAGGATCTCTCTGAGTTTTAAGAAGTTTTTGTGTTTATGGGTCATAAGGAAAGCATTTTTTAAAATTATTTTTATTGATTTATTTAGAGAGGGGGAGAGAGAAACATCTATGTGCGAGCACAACATTGGCTGCCTCCTGCTTGCCTCCTACTAGAAATCGAACCCGCAACCCTATTGTGCACGGGCCGGCACCCAACCAACCGAGCCACAACAGCCAGGGCAGGAAGGCATTTTTTTAAATACAGTTAGACCATATCCCTTTATTCATTAGTTTAAATTAGCAGTTATGACCATATCCCTTTATTCATTAGTTTAAATTAGCAGTTAATAGTCACAATAATTAGTCCAATTCCCTTTGGGTGCAATATTTAGCAAACAAAATCACAACTGTTATTCATTGCTTCTTGGCAAAGGGGTAAGGTGGTGAGTGTAGATTCTTCACTCTCATTCATGCACTTAGAGCTCTTCTTGCAGATCGCAATGTCATTCTGATGATTTTTCCTCTACTTCTCTCCCACTACAGCACTGAAAAAGCGCCGGCGCGTTTTGAGCATTTCACAGGTGTAAATTTTTTTTATTGAGGTGAAATTCACATAACAGAATTAGCCATTTTTACATACGCGATTCAGTGGCATCTAGTCCATTCACAGTGTTCTACAATCACTGCCACTTATCAAGTTCCAAAATATTTTCATCACCCCATACCAGTGGTTGGCAAACTGCGGCCCCTTGAGTGTGGCTCTTCCACAAAATACCACGTGCGGGTGCGCACGTACAGTGCGATTGAAACTTCGTGGCCACACTCAAGGAGCCAAAGAGCCACATGTGGCTCGAGAGCCGCAGTTTGCCGACCACTGCCCCATAAACATGAGCAGTCACTCTACATTGCTGCCTTGCCCCAGCCCCTGGCAACCACCAGCCTACTTTTTATCTCTGGGTTTGCCAGTTGTGAACATTGATACTTACCTGTACCTTGCTGTTGGGCAGCGGTTCTCAACCTGTGGGTCGAGACCCCTTTGGTGATTGAACGACCTTTTCACAGGGGTCGCCTAAGACCATCGGAAAACACATATATAATTACATATTGTTTTTTGTGATTAATCACTATGCTTTCATTATGTTCAATTTGTAACAATGAACTGGGGGTCACCACAACATGAGGAACTGTATTAAAGGGTCGCGGCATTAGGAAGGTTGAGAACCACTGCTGTAGGGTTTATAAATGAGAAGTCTAACCTGCAACCCTAAGTGAAGAGGAGAAACAGTGCGTCCATTGAGGGGGTCTGTGAGAAAGCTCGTGAATATTTTCCATGCCATCTGCTGGGAATATGGTGCCAGAAAATGAATACAAGGAGAATGAAAATGAGCCAGACAAAAACTCCTTTTTTAATGTTTATTTTAGAGAGAGGCTAGTTATTGATTAAACTAATACAATATCTGGAAACATTCTTTTTTTCATCTGTACTTTGCCTTTTATGCAGTTTGAAATTTTGGTGACTCCTCTTTGAAGTGGAGCAGGGTCGAGTCTGAAAGGAACAAACAGTTTCCCAGGCAGATGTGTGAAGAAATGCCTGCAGCTATGTGCTTCTCACTGGGGTTAGATGTGATGGGGCCAGGCTGTTAAATACACAGCAACATGAAATATGAATATTCTTTCTCCTCCATGGGGAATTTCCCCCCCTCAATAGTAAAAAGGAATGGGAAGCCATTTCCGGTTCCCCTGCCTTTTCTTTAAGCTCGAGTTCATTTGTATTGTGTCTCTGTATTATGCTGGTTCCACGAATCTTTTTAAGGCTCAGGTGTAAAACAGCACTATTTTTAAATTATATTTCTTTTCTGTGATTTTTAAAAATCTTATGTAGGTATAGCGAAAGCCATCTTAACATTGCTAAACAGTTGTTTTGTTTAAATTACAGAGTCTCCATGGCAACTGCATCTTCCCAGGTTCTAATTCCTGAAATCAACCTCAATGACACATTTGACACCTTTGCCTTAGATTTTTCCCGAGAGAAGAAATTGCTAGAATGTCTGGATTACCTAACAGGTACTGTATTTCTGGGTGGTGGTTGTTTTATATTGTGTATATTCAGTGATCCCACACTTTGCCACCAGGTCAATTCCCTAAAAACCAGGGATACATGTAGGCTTCTGATTGAGGAATGGAGTCTAATAATCCCAGAAACAATTTCTGTCACTCTTTTTTTTTCCAATGAAAATGACATAGTCGGAGACTAATTGAGGCTACAGGAAAAAAGAGAATCTCCATCATTAAAAGCATACTTACACCATTCCCTTCACTCTTAGAGCATGGGTAAGGCAAATACAGTGGGGCCTTGACTTACAAGTGTCCCGACTAACGAGTTTTTCGAGATACGAGCCATCTCTCGGCAGATTTTTTGCTTTGAGTTTCGGGCTAAAATTCGGGTTACGAGCCAGCTTCAGATACCCCACCGCTAGTTGGCGCAGCGAACGTCACAGTGAACGCCACAACATCAGCCCAGCATCATGTGTCTCACTCGTTCACTTTTGATTTGACATACGAGTAATTTGAGTTACGAGCTCCGTCACGGAATGAATTAAAGTCGTAAGTCAAGGCCCCACTGTAATAGCCTTGTTGCTCATCAAAGAGATACGTAGGGAAACGTGGCTATTTTCCACTTCATGGCAGCAGGGCACCTGTCTCTTACAGTCCGTTGGCAGAGGAAAAAATGAAAGCTAACTCTGATAGCTAACATCACCCTGCCCCAACCCTTTGTATTCACAGCCCTGTCTAATCTTTGTAACATCAAATGGAGGTAGGTCATTATAACCCTCATTTTGCAAACAGTGGAGGTCATCCATCTTGCTGGAGGTCAGATAGCTAGGCGATAGCAGAAGCAGGTTTTGGCTTGGGTCTGTTCAGACTCCCAAGCCCTCTGCTCTTTCTAGTAAAAGACTACATTTCATCTTGCCAAGGTCACCGTGACAAACAGTTCCCCAAATTACGTTAGAATTCCTTGTGCCTTGTTTCAATCCTGTGCTTTCTGATAAGCATGCTATTGGGAAGTCCAGCTTAAAAACCCAAAGCAACAACAAGAAAGGAAAACCTCAGGCAACTCCTATTCCTAACCATGCTTCCAAATTTTTCTGTGCTGTTAACCTCTAAAGTGGGAGCTGAGAACACTGGCTGGGAGAACGTGGACTGTTTAGATGACCTTGTTTGTGTTAGCGGAAGCCACCCGTGCCTGTGGCTGCAGGAAGGCTCCGTGGATCTAGTGAGGCCAGATGTGCACTGAGCTCAGGCTGTGGAGTCCCCTGGGGACCACATCCCTAACGGCGTGGCACAGCATCTCCACTCCAATGCCATGTGTGCATGTTTACGGGAAGGCGGAGGAGAGAGGAAGCATTGTGTGGCGGTTGTTTTTACAGTCTGCACAGAAAGCAAGGAGTTCCGTATTCAAGGAGCGTTGTACCCAGAAGATCAGTTTTTTCTTTGCAAGGACCTGAGGCGCTGCTTTTAGGCTTTCTGCATTCACAAGGGAGAACAGTCAGCCCGCAAACTGTCTCTTATGTCATTCTTCTTTCAAACCATATCGCTCCTATTCAGGAAAGAAATCAACTCACAAAGCATTTACCAGGAAGAGCCAAACTTGGTTTCAAGTATTTATGAATGTAATGCTGTCCTTTTTTAACCTTTTATCTCTGAGATGTATCTAAACTAACGCTATCTCCTGGCACAGCGGTTCTCAACCTGTGGGTCGCGACCCTTTGGCGGTCGAACGACCCTTTCACAGGGGTCGCCTAAGACCATCCTGCAGATCAGATATTTACATGACAATTCATAATAGTAGCAACATGACAGTTATGAAGTGGCAAGGAAAATAATTTTATGGTTGAGTCACAACATGAGGAACTGTATTGAAAGGGCCAGAAGGTTGAGAACCACTGTCCTAGCACTTTATGCGATGATAAAAACATTATCTGTACTTTCCAATATGGTAGCTGCTAGCCACATGGGGCTATGGAAAACGTGAAATGTGGATAGTGAGTTTTTACTTTTATTTAATATTATTAAATTTAATTGAAATTTCAGAGTCACGTGTAGTTTGTGGCTAATGTATTAGACAGCCCAGGTCTAGTTAAAATTCTCTTTTGGTTAATATCATTTAGCAATGAGTGTAGTTGCAACAGGAAATCCAATTAACGGTGACTAGAGCCATCAAAGAGTGTTCATATCATGAAGCAGGAGGACAGAGGCATGTGCTCTAAGGCTGGGCAGAGTTCAGTGATGACCTCGGACTCCACACTTTCTCTTTTTCTGCTCTGCCACCTTCATTGTGTTGCTTTTGGCCCCATGATCGCAACAGGAGGACTCCGCCTCCAAGTATTATGCGCAAGTTAGAGACAAAAAGAGAGGGGCAGAGGGGAAATGATGACAAAAACTTCTGTCAGCCAAGAGTGTCTTTGTTTATCAGGAGAACAGAAAGTTTGTTCAGAAGACCCATCTAGCAAATTTCAGCTTGTGTCTTGTGGGCCAGAGCCATGTTGCAAGGTCATGTCCAAAGGCAGAAAAGACTGAAAAAATGTCTGGCTGGGCACATGGCCATTCTGCACAAAATCAGTGTTTTGTTGACAAGAGTATGTCCTCCCCATTTCTCAATAATTGTTTAATAGTATTTCAGTGATGTCTGCCCATTCTAATCTCTCTACGAATGCCAAAGTACTGATTAAAGGGGAACTAGCGAAAGTAGTTTGCACTGACTAGTAACATGCACATCATATATCATCCCGATGGCTGTTTATGCCAAACTACAGACCATATGGGGTACCTGCTATTATGCCTTCTTAGCTGTCAACCTCAAATACAAATTTGGCCCATTTCTAGACATAACATCAATTCTGGCCATAACATACGATGCTTGGTTGATATTGCCAAGTCCAAATAGTTTATCAGACATTTGTAAGCAGGAAATGAAGTGTTTGTGAAGTATTAGCCCGCCATTTCTTGTGTCCTGTTTATGAGAGAGGCAAGAAAATTCCAGTTCTGGTACCCATGCCATGAATATTGAAATTGGCAGCATGCTCCTGTTCTCATTGACAGTAAATTGGGTATTGACTTTTCAGGACATAGCCATTGGGTTTCTAATCAAAACAGGGTTAACCTGCCTGACTGTAAAAACAAGATTTTTCCCCCTAGACATGCCTCTAAGTGTTATGTCAAGTTAATAACCCAAAGAGGGGACATTTCCTCCCTGAGACAGCTACTGCCATGTGTCTCACAGCTACTTGCCCATTTTGGACATAAGTTTTCTTTACATTTAATCATATATTGCAATGCAGAAGGAACAAATTCTTTCCACAGTGGTTGATGGAGAAATAATTTGATGAACTATTTAGATTGTGGGAAAATAAGTATTTTTCCACTGATTCACGCAGGATGACCCCACAGTAACAGGGACCACATCTATACTAATCAAAGGGTAATATGCTAATTAGACCAGACATCTTCCGGATGTCCTTCCAGACAAAGCCACGGTGGCTGTGGCTGAGGCAGAGGCAATTAGGGACGATAGGCCTGTAGGGGAGCAGTTAGGGGCATCAGACCAGCAGGCAGAGGTGGTTAGGGGCGATCAGGCAGGCAGGCAGGCGAGTGGTTAGGAGCCAGTGGTCCCGGATTGTGTGCTCACTACCCAAAGCCAAGTCTTTTCACATCTCTATCCCCTCTTTGCCCACTTCCACCTGTCCCTACCCCCTTTCTCTCTGGCAGTCACTACCCTGTTGTCCATGTCTATGTGTCAGATATATTTTTTTAAATCTCTTCACCTAAATATTTCAGGTTGTACAGGACATATGGTTACAACTACTCAACCTTGCTGTTGCACAAAAGCAGCCATAGACAATACATAAATTAATGAGCCTGGCTATGTTCCAATGAAACTTTATTTACAAAACAGGCAGTGGGCCAGATTTGGCCAAAAGCCATCATTTGCCAACCCCTGATGTCAAATATTATTGCCCATGCAAAGCACTCACTGCCTAGTCTTTTTCTAGTTTTTGCTCACAAACTCTTCTCATAAAGCCAGTTACTGAAATCCATCCAGTAGAAGTCAACTTAAAATCATTATTTTGGTAGGATTTAGACTTCTCTGCTGCAGAATGTGTTTAAGACATAAAACAGCAGCCTTCTCCAGTGATAAAGTTAACCAAATGCCAAAGAATCATGTTTTCCTTGGGGAAGGGAAATGTACTTCTTCGATATGATGGATTGTTAGTCTTGTTCTTAATTTGAAAGATCACCTATAAATGAGAAGAAAATAGGGCCACATTAATACGTTTTTTTATAAGCCATCAAAACATCTAGTGGAAGAAAATTTTTAAACAATTCTTTGGGTTACCTGTTAAGGGATAACAAACTCCAGTATTTTTCCATTTGGATACAGTTTTAAATATAAAAATGTATTATGGAATTGTACACTTGAAACCTATATAATTTTATTTGTCTGCAGACTGAGCAGGGTCCCTCCGGCAGGTGGGGTCCCTCGGCCTGGCCTGCAGGGATTGGGCTGAAATCGGCTCTCCAACATCCCCTGAGGGGTCCTGGAGTGCAAGAGGACACTCTGCAAAGTTGCTGTCGCTCGGCAGCTCCTGCATTAAGCATCTGCCCCCTGGTGGTCATTGTGTGTTATAGCTACCGGCTGGTCAGCCAGTCGGTCGGTCGCTTAGGCGTTACCCCAGTATTGTTTGTTTAACCTCTAAACATGATTTCATCTATATATAGATGTTACCCCAATACATTCAATAAAAATTAAAAATAATATACTAATAATAGTGGAGTTCGTAGCTACCCTTTCCACACTAGGCATAATATTTACTTTTTTTAAAAAAAATTTAAGTTGATTGGGGTGACATAATATTTACTTTTGAACTGAGATTAATCTGCTTTATCAAGTTAGGGAATTCTTTCATTTATGTTTTATTACAATTTTTAAAAAATATGTGGCATTACGTAGCTCAGAGGTTGGCAAACTTTGGCTCACAGGCCAAATCTGGTCCTCACTTGTGTATTTTTTTGTTGTTGTTTCTTTCATTTTTTTTTCTCAATTGTTTTTATAAATGATGTTTGACTGGAACATGTCCATGTCCATTTCAGTACAAATTGGCTGCTTTCATTATGCTAAGGCAGAGTTAAGTTGTTGCAACAGAGCCCACAAAGCCTAAAATACTTACCATCTAACCCTTTACAAAAGAAATTTACCATCCCTCTAATATAGATGAAACTAGAGGCCTGGTGCACGAAAATTCGTGCACTTGGGGGGGTCCCTCAGCCCGGCCTGTGCCCTCTTGCAGTCCAGGAGCCCTTGGGGGATGTTCAACTGACGGCTTAGGCCCGCTCCCCACAGGGAACGGGCCTAAGCCACAGTCTGGCCTCCCTCTGTGGGAGGTGACTGGTAGGTAGATTGGGGGCCGGCTGGTGGCCAGCAAGCGGCTGGCCCTGCCCCCCATTGCCCCGCTGCCACCCCCTCCTGGAACCCGCCTTGGCTGGCCTGGGGCCGCCCACTCGCCGGCCACGCCCCCCCACCAACCGGTCGTTCCACCATTTGGTCTATTTGCAAATTACACTTTTATTATATAGGATATCAAAAGTTTATCTTCTTTACTTTTTGTTTAATACTTTTTGTTTTCCTTCATGGATGAGAGAGTATTGTTTGTTTAACCTCTAAACATGATTTCAGAATAAATAGAGATAAGTCCATGCTGGCAGGTTGAAGTCACACTACCCATTAAAAGTCACACTGATAACAGACCAACCAAATGTCGTTTGAGTTGGGGTCAACATCTCGAGGACAGGAGTCCTGACGGAGCTATTTAGAAAGGCCTGCTTTGACTGTCAAACATCTCTGAAATGTATCCCAGAGTTGAATGCTTCTCCATTGATGACCATTCTTGATGCCCACAGCTCCCAACCCTCCCACAATTAGAGAAGAGCTCTGCACGGCTTCCTATGACACCATCACTGTTCACTGGACGTCCGATGATGAATTCAGTGTGGTCTCCTATGAGCTCCAGTACACCATATTCACCGGGCAAGCCAACGTTGTCAGTGAGTATCAAACGCCCTAGTGATTTCTCTGGTATCTGTTTTCTGGTAAATTCTATTTCTGAATTTAAACATCAAGGGAAGATAAGGAAAGAAACAATGCACAATATTTATTGGCTTGTTTTTCCTAACCAAGAAAATGATAGCACTAAGTTGTACTGTACTAGTAAAAATAACTGGCCAAATAGCGTTGAAAATTTATGATCTCTAGCACACTACATGGGTGAATCTTAAGTGGGAAACAAAAGAATATACGCAGCATGATTCTACTTACACATCCATAACTTAAAAATAAACTGTTTTGTTTAGAGATGCATGCATACGTGTAAAAACTATAAATAAATGTCAGGATGATGGCTACCTTTGGGATGGGAGGGGAGTGGCACCATTGGGAGGAAATACATGGGGGATCATGGGGTTAACAGCACTGTCTGGCTATATTCTGGTTATTTCATGGGTATATCATACATTTAATTTGATGTACTTTTCTGAGTGTTATTTCACAGTTTTTAAAAAAGGATTTAATAAAATGAACAGCTAAAGAGCACCAGCTACCTGGGCCCATTCGGAGACCAGGGCCATCATTTAAAATCCCCCCCCCCCCCACCTGGGAAGAATTTCAGACCTTACGTGAAACACAGAGAGGCTCCTCTCTCACTGGGGCCCGTGAGCTATTTGATATCAGGGATAGTTCACTGCTCTCACGGAGCAGTAGCTGGCCAGAAAGGTGATAATGGAAGAAACACTCCTCCCGCCCTCAGAGTTATTTAAATTGACCTGAGTCAATGGCAAAGGACCAGAAGAATGGACTTTTCAGGGGAGCAGGTTTGAAACTTCTTTAGCAAATAAAAATAGAAACATGTCCAAGTAGAATAAAATAGAAGTAACTTTTCAACCAAGAAATGTTTTGAATAAATCCACATCAGCTTAATGTGCTCTTACTGTATAAACCTATTCTCTCTTTACACTGTTCTTTCCTAGCACAAGTAAATCTGAGGCATGTGATGCTTAAAATAGAAATTTGATTTAGGATTAGTTAAAAGGGAGATGCCGAAAGACCCCGCTTCTAAAGGACTAAAGTAGAAATGACCCATACCAACAAATGGTTCCCGCTGTCTTCCTCGTATCCCCCCTTTCCAGCTTCCCCTCCTCAACCCTCTGCCCTTCTGCTCCCTAATTGGCCTACCTTGGAAGCTTTTATGAAAATGTTACCAGAGATTGTATCAAACATTCATTTAAAAAAGATGAAATTCAAAAGATAGTCAGAAATTCCAAGACAATCAGAAAAGGACAGCATGAAGGTGTGAGAAGAGCAGATAGAAAATGGAGGGGCCCTAGTTGGTTTGGCTCAGTGGATAGAGTGTCGGCCTGTGGACTGAAGGGTCCCGGGTTTGATTCCGATCAAGAGCACCTACCTCAGTTGCAGGCTCCTGGCCCTGGTCCAGGGCATGCCAGAGGCAACCAATTGATGTGTCTCTCTCACACCAGTGTTTCTCTCTGTCTCTCCCTCTCCCTTCCACTCTCTCTAAAAATCAATGGAGCCCTGACCTGTTTGGCTCAGTGGATAGAGCGTCGGCCTGCAGACTGAAGGGTCCTGGGTTCGATTCCGGTCAAGGGCGTGTGCCTTGGTTGCGGGCACATCCCCGGTGGGGGGTGTGGGGGAGGCAGCTGATCGATGTTCCTCTCTCATCGATGTTTCTGACTCTCTATCCTTCTCCCTTCCTCTCCGTAGAAAATCAAAATATATTTTTTAAAAAATCAATGGAAAAATATCCTCAGGTGAGGATTAAAAAAAGAAGAAAGGAAGGAAATGGAGGGATGATTTGTTGCCAAAAGTGAACTGGGATCAATAAGCATTGTGTCCAAAAAACAGAGTAGGCTCTGTGAAAGCACAAGAGGATTGATAGATGCACCATTTGTTGACGAGCGAATAATGTAACCAGAAAAAGAAACATTTGGAGTCATGTTATACCTAAAGGATGCTTCTTAGCCCACGAAGTAATGTTACAGTTCTCTGAATTTGTTTTTGCCTGATCCAGGAAAAATTACATCAGTTTTCTAATGCTGTGTAAGAAATTTTCCAAAACTTAGCAGCTTAAAATAACACCCATTTATTATTTCAGTTTCCATGGGTCAGGATTCTGGGCACAGTTTAACTGGCTCCATAAAGCTGAAAGCAAGCTATTGGCTGGGCCGCATTGTCATCTGGAGGTCCAATTAAAGAAGAATTCACTTCCTAGCTGCCTCAGGTTGTGGTCAGAATTGATTTCATTATTGTTGTGGAATTCATGGAAGTTTGCTTCTTCAAAGCCGAGAGCAAGAGCTTTGCTACTTCAACTCTCTCACCTCTAAACCCTTCTTTAAAGAGCTTGATCGATTAGCTTAGCCCTGCCCTGAATATTCTCGATTTGATTAACTCGGAGTCAACGGATTACATCTGCAAACTCCTTTCACCTTTGCCATATAACGTAATATTACTGGAATGATAGATAAGACATTTGTCCTTTGCCATATCTGTTGATTAGAAGCAGATCATAGGCCATGCCTACCCTCAAGGAGAGAGGATTATACAGAGTCATGAATAATATGGAGTGGGAGTTATGGAGGCCACACAAGGGCATGTCCATTATATCTCTCCTGAAATTTCTTGGATCAAATGACCATGGGCATTTAGACAGTACATATAGTCTTGGCCTGGACCGATGGGCCTTGTATCGGTTGGTTTTTGCTGAATAGCCCAGACCACAGAACCTAAATAGAGCAGAACAATTCATGTTTATTGCTTGTGCAGCTGGAATCAGCTGGGGGCAGCTAAGAGGTCCTGCTATTCTTGGTTAAGCTCCCTCGCATGTCAGGCTGATGATGGGAGCAACTCAACTGCTACACAGCTCTCTGCTGCCACTGAGCTCAAACATGTTCTCCTGGTGATTGCAGAGGTGAAGGTATAAGGACAGGCCCGATTGCACACGTGTTTTTCAAGCCCCTGTCTGTGGCATGCCATTGTCCAAGCAAGTCCCATGGATGAGCCCAAACGAAAGGAATATATCTATAGCTCAGTGGTTCTCAACCTTCTGGCCCTTTAAATACAGTTCCTCATGTTGTGACCCAACCATAAAATGATTTTTGTTGCTACTTCATAACTGTCATGTTGCTACTGTTATAAATTGTCATGGAAATATCTGATATGCAGGATGGTCTTAGGCGACCCCTGTGAAAGGGTTGTTTGACTGCCAAAGGGGTCGCGACCCACAGGTTGAGAACCTCTGCTATAGCTTGAAACTAGGAGTTTCTTAGATGGCTAAATGTGACTAACTTGACCTCCATGCTATTGACGTGGAAAATAATACCAAACAAGACTTATAAATGGAATAGATGAGAAAGGGCTGTGCGTACAGAAACCCAACAACAGCAACACTACTGAGCGCCATGAACTCAGAGCTTTATGCTGGGTGATTCTAGATAAGGTGTTTTATCCCTGGAAACCAGTTACCACAAGGAAATAACTGCAAATGGCTTAATGAAGATTAGGGACCTGCCTTATTTAACCACAGTGCCAGAAAGGCCCATTCTCCCAGGACAGGTGGAAAACAGTGACAGTGCAGGTGCGCATCTAACTGGAGTGCTCTCATCAGCTTGTTGGTATCGGGACTTGTTCATCTCTTTAATGCACATTAAACCAATGTAGTGATGTCCTGATCACAACAGAATCAAACTGCAAAAAAAAAAAGAATTTAAGTAAAAGGATAACTGAGAATCAAGCATTTTCAGATTACTTTCTGCTTTAATACTATACATATTTGTAGTAACTGCGGGAGACCCGGATGTGAATTCCATCTTTGGACCTCACTAGCTCTGTAATTTGGGGCAAATGATTTAACATCCTCTGAATGTTTTCTCATCTGTAAGAAGAAGTAATGTTTAACCTCACATGGTTGAGATAACAAAAGTAAAGGCCTTAGCTCTATATTTGCCACAACAGTATCACGTAGATATTCAAAGTTGTTTTCCTATAAAAATACAGACTATATTCATTCATTATTGCATTTTTAAAGGCTGATATTTCTGTGGTATGGTAAAGGTCAATAATGTAATTTGCCAGGATTATCTATATGATAGCATTTTACATGATCTTCATGTGAAAGGCCTTCCTTGAATGTTGTTTGACCATCTGCCCTATCATTTGGAGGAATATCCTTTGCAGATCTTATATTGAATGGCAAGATGTAATGTGGAACATCTGCTCCTTATGCCACTAGGAAATTTTATACTGTCTCTAGTTCATGAATCCTTCACTTGTCAGAATAAATTCTAGTTAATCCCCACAACTGACTTTAATGAAGGATAATTATATGATATCTATGGGGCTTTTTAATCTTATAAAAAGATCCCCACTAATCAAATTCATACATTCAAATGCAAACTTAATGACATTACTAATTTTTTACTTTTCATTTTTATTAACAGACTCATGATTACAAGTGTTAATGAATGTATTAACACATAGCTATGTATTTATTTTTACAATGTTGTCCATGATGTTTATGTAAAACTACTTTGAATGCATCATTTAAAATCTGAAATTAGTGCCTTTTAGCAGCAGCCTATTTTTTATTATTAGCAAAAGTCAAGAGATTCGTTTCTTCAATATTTTATGGCAAGTAAGTTATCTGTCTTTAATTTATTTTAGTCATTTTGAAAACAGTCATGAAAGTTATTAAACATGTACTATTTTTATAGAGAAAGAGGAAAAGAATGTTCACTTCTGTCCAATATGTTAGACAAAGGATGTTAGAAGCTAGTGTGTGGCCTCTCTGAAGGGTGTCCATATTGCATAATGTTTTATATATAATGTTTTATGGCAAGATGACAGTGTTATACAAGGCTATGAAATCCCCAGTGTCAGTACGATCTTGTAATGAGCAGCATTATGGACATGTTTCTGACTCCTTGTGAATGAGAAAACAATGTACCAAGTTGAAAAACTCAATTACATTTCATGATGGTTTAATTATCTTCCAAGTCCCATTGTTTTAATACTTCAAGTGGAATTGGAAACGGTGAATATTGGGATACCCTGCAAGATGATTGAAAGTGAATTTGGAGAAAAGTGAAGTTTCGGTCAGGATGGTTAGTGGGTGTTTCATAAAGCGATGAATAAAACCTGGTCCATAGACCTGACACAGTGGGGTATCGAGGCAGAGAAGTCTGGCGCTTGGCACCGTGTGCAGGAAGTTAAGCGATGCTGGCGCAAGACCAACGCTAAGCAACGCAATAATGGTGCACTCCAAGACATCCCACTTATCCCATCCCCCAATTGAAAGTGGTCATTGTTGCTTTCTTGGCATTTTTAATCAACTTCTCGATTATTACCTTGGCAATCGTGATCATAGAAAAGTAAACCGAAACAGTAATGGTTGTTAGCATTCATGAAACTACATTGTCCCAGGGTAAAGCTAGCCAATGTTACTACTTCATAAACATGTTGTTCTTTTCATATTCAAGGGGAAAAAATGAGTGACCTCTTAAAGTACTGAGGAGAGTCAGGGTCCCTGTTTTGGTTTGGAAAAGGTTCGTGCAACATTACATCTTTTTTTGTTGGGTTAAGACTTTGGCTTGGAGGCCAAGTTGCAGTTTGCAGCATTTCCAGACATCTGCTTTATGATGTTGCTGAAAGCAGTCCCCTACCACATTAAACCCAGCTTTGGGCTGTACAGTGATGTAAAGTTTATTGAAACATTTTTACATTTGCTTTCTTGGACCATAATAGTCATTTCGCTGTAACATATGCAATTAAACAGAAACAGTGTAAATGCAGTGACACTGATAGGATTCTCCTTGATTGCACTGAATGCTGTTATTGTTTGCATTTGGGCCTGAGTGCTGTTGACAAAGGTTTAGGAATAGGAGTGGATGGATAATCCTAGGCAATAGAAAAGCTCGTTGCTTTGTCTTGTTGCTACTGTAATATTATTATTAAATATCTAAAGTGAGTTACAGGCTTCTTGGGGCCCAGAGCTCACAGTTCAAAATGGCCCTTCTTTGCTTGGATCAAAAATCTACTACTTGGCTGTGGCACTATCCAGAAGTATTGAGTTTATTACAGCTATGTTGGAGGAAAAGGTGAGAAATTAGCAAAAGTGATATGTGGTAAGGAAAGTCTCATGTTACTAAACTATTTGTGGACATTTTCCTGGGTCTTACACAAGTGAAACTTTGTGGGAAAACAGAGAGCTAAGAGTTGGGGAATTGGGGGTAGGGATAAGGGGGTAGGGGTAAGGGGTGGTGGATGGTGCCTTAGCTGCCCTGCTGTATCTCCAAACATGAGCACACACACACACACACACACACCCTCTTCTCTGAGCCGCACATTCTTTCCTTGCTTCATACTGGCTTTGTCAAATCTGGCAGACCTCCTGGTGAAAATGTTCCCGGTGGAAAAGTAAAGAGGTGATAGAAAATTCACAAAGTCAATTACAAAGTGTGTCTGAAAATATGGTACACCCAAGATACCAATCCCCTGAGAGGAATTTTCACAATTGGCAAAATACTTCTATGTTCTTCTCAACTGTGAGACTACCAGAGCAATGTTTAACTCAAAAGCTGGAGAAAGTATTGAGTAGGACTTAGACAGACTTCACGGGGTGTGAATACCTTGAAATGCAATGTAAATATTTGAGGGCTGGTATGGATATGCTTGCGTGAATTTCTACCGAAACGTTGTATTCGATACTCAAAGAGGTGAGACCAAAGAAAGATTAAGGGACTGCTGCTTGAGAGTGTGGTAAGGTATCAGTTGCCTCAAGATCAAAAGAACTAACCCTTTGGCTTGCAAACCCAGTGAAAGGAAAGGCTGGAGAGGGGAGTCCAGAGCCCCTCAGGAACCAGAATCAGGAAACTTCCTGACAGCCCCGTCACCAGGGAGCTGGGAAAAGGTTCTGTGAGAGTGGAGATTGATGGGTAGACAGGGGAAATAGGAGAGTTGGACCCAATATGAGAGAGATGTTTTCGGCATCAGCCAGCTGCCAAACAAAATGGGCTTCCTTTTTCCTGCGTGTTCTTCCAAGCATCGTAAATTCTCAGCCTCCTCCCCAACCCACATCCTGCAGAATGCAGCCAGCGCCACAGCCCCTCTCTCCTCGGAAACCAGGCATTCTAGAGATGCAGCTGGTCAGAATCCCTGTGGATGCTTTTCTTTCTTTTTTTTAAAAAAAATATATTTTATTGATTCTTTACAGAGAGGAAGGGAGAGGGATAGAGAGTTAGAAACATCGATGAGAGAGAAACATCGATCAGCTGCCTCCTGCACACCCCCCACCGGGGATGTGCCCGCAACCAAGGTACATGCCCTTGACCGGAATCGAACCTGGAACCCTTCAGTCCGCAGGCCGACGCTCTATCCACTGAGCCAAACCGGTTAGGGCTGTGGATGCTTTTCTCAGTCCCACACTGGGCCCTGAGCTGCCCATCGGTGCCGCTGTTGCAGGGTGCTCATAGGAACATGTCTTGTGGGATTGGTTAACTATGGCCACACTAATGCTACATCACACACAACCCTGGGGATCACTGTCTTAGCTCCCCTGTCAGAAGTGAGCGTGGATTGGCCAGTCTCTGCCGGCTTCCCTCCTGCATTGGCTGGGCAGTAGAGCTGTTCCTCGTGCCTCAGCCTGTCTGGATGTGCAGACTCTGGGGAATGTTCTCCCCATGGCAATGGCAGAGGCACAAGAGGGCAACAGAAGCTCTCACGGCCTTGTAATGCCTGCTCTTAAAACTGGAACCTTGACATTTCAGCCTCATCCTATTGGTTAAAGCAAGTCATGTGGCCACCCAAAGTCATGTGATAAGGAAATATATCCTGTCTCTTTAGACTCGAACGACTCGAATGACCCTTTCACAGGGGTCACTTAAGACCATGGGAAAACACATATATAATTACATATTGTTTTGTGATTAATCACTATGCTTTAATTATGTTCAATTTGTAACAATGAAATTGGGGGTCACCACAACATGAGGAACTATATTAAAGGGTCGCGGCATTAGGAAGGTTGAGAACCACTGCTTTAGAGCAAGCATGACAAACTCAAAGGCTAACATGGGCCAAATAAACAAGGTTTAAGTTTATGTGGGCCACAAAAAAACAAAAGCTTCAATTTTCATAGAAATGTAGGTTTATTTTGATAGAGACATGCTGAATACAAAGGGCTGAAATACATGAGTAATTGTTAACATAAAATAATAGAACATTTTAATAAAAATTAATTTTTTCTTGAACATTAACTTACCAGACATTGAATAACTACACAAATGAATAAGCATAACAGAAATAAACCTAGTTTTGTTCTCCAAAAGCAAAATATTTTCTGTTGTGTACACCAGATAAGTCAGTCCAAGACTAATGACATGGCCATCAGCTGCTAAAATATTTGCTGCTAGTATTACTGGAGAAAAATGGTGCACCTGTGCGTAAGGCGCATAAGGGAAATGAATGCAACACGATGATAGTAATCAGTCATTAGCGAACATTGTAGTTGGTTATTAATAACTAGAGGCCCAGTGCACAAGATTTGGGCAGGGGGGGTGGCCCCTCAGACTGGCCTGTGCCCTCTCACAGTCCGGGACCCCTCAGGGGATGTCCACCTGCCAGCTTAGGCCCGATCCCCCCGGGGACTGGGCCTAAGCCAGCAGGCAGACATCCCTTTCGCAGTCTGGGGCTCTCACAGTCCGGGACTCCTTGCTCCTTACCCTCTGTCTGTAGTGGAGGCAGGAGAGGCTCCCGCCACTGCCGCAGCGCTCCCCCACCCCTCCCGTGCAAGCACACTGACCACCGGGGGGCAGCTCCTGCGTTGTCTGCCCCCTGGTGGTCAGTGCACGTCATAGCGACCAGTCGTTCTGCCGTTCAGTTGATTTGCATATTATGCTTTCATTATATAGGATTATGTATAACAGGCTATTGTAAAAACTAAGTTATGACATTTTTATTAAAACATTTCTTGCATACCGTTATATTGGCTGGGCCACAAAAATAGTCATTGTGGGCCGCCAGTTTGACATGCATGCTTTAGAGGAACCAACTGCCAAGTCACTTAGGCCTGGATCCCAGGCGGGGTGATGAATTAGATAAAAATGCAATCTACTACACCTACAGAAATAAAGTCAACTTCCCATAGAGCAATGGGGTCTCTTCTCACCTTCTGTGAGTCTCAGAATTGATGAGATGTAAATATTTAATGCTGATCATAATAAGAATGGGGGTGAGGGTGGGAGGAGGAATCAGTGGCAACCCACAGCACATAATCCGTGCTTAAGGTCCCAGACAGAACCATCTTTGCTGCTCCTATTTATACTGAACAGAATTTGCAATAGAATAGCTTTAAGTGGTTTAGAGCACACAAAAATAATATATAATAATAAATATAGGTTGACCTACTAGAGGCAAGACACTGAGCACTCAAGTATATTGTTATCTCCCTACGAAGTGACAAAGCACGCCATTTATGGGTCAAGTAACCTAAAATTATGTAAATGTTGCCCTGTGCTTGCACCAAAGAACTGCACCTGGTTGACTTTGCAGGTCTGTGTAACTCAGCCGATAGCTGGATGATCGTGCCCAACATCAAGCAGAACCACTATACTGTGCATGGTCTGCAGAGCGGCACCAAGTACATCTTCATCGTCAAGGCCATCAACCAGGCGGGCAGCCGCAGCAGCGAACCCGGGAAGTTGAAGACAAACAGTAAGTGCAATGAGCTCGGCAGAGCTGTCGTCTCTCCCTTCTCTGTCCCCCTTTCTTTTCCTCTGTCTCAGGCATCGCTCACAGCCTCAGGAGCAAGTAGAGAGCCTGTGGAGACTAGTGCATTTTGCATCAGATACCTCTGGGTTCTAAAACCTGACCCATACTCTTAAGGGCTGTGAGGCCATTAACTTCTCTGTGCTTCAGACTTTTCCATTTTTAAAATAAATAATCCCGGAGGGCTTCTTGTGAGAATTGGGCATCTATGTAGATATATATATATATATAAGTCTGACACACACGGCTCTGACACAGTAAATGGCAGATGATAATGTTTTCTCTAACACAGTGGTCGGCAAACTGCGGCCCCTTGAGTGTGGCTCTTCCACAAAATACCACGTGCGGGCGCGCACGTACAGTGCAATTGAAACTTCGTGGCCACACTCAAGGGGCCAAAGAGCCGCATGTGGCTCGCGAGCCGCAGTTTGCCGACCACTGCTCTAACAGATTAGCAAATGAATACCTCTTTCTTCAGGAATCCTTTATTTACTTCAGATACCTCCCTAGGTCTGTGGCTCTCAGTCAAGAATGATTCTGCTTCCCTCCCCAGGTGGGACATTTAGGAATGTCTGGAGACATTTTGGGTTGTCACAACTGAGGTGGATGCTACCTACCGGCATCGAGTAGTTGGAGGCCAGGGCTGATGGGAAACATCCCACAATGCACAGGACAGCCCCGCAACAAAGAATGATCTGGTTTATACACTTGTCTCATAAGCCTGTCGTCTCTCTTTCTGTGTCTCTCCTCACATGTGTTTTGTTTTATCCTCTTTTTTCTGTACATCTTTTTGATCTAGAAATGTTAGGTTACATGGCATGGTATTTCTTTACGTAAGACCTCCCAAGAGACAGCACGTTGGAGCCTGTCTGTGGTGCCATGTTAGAGGGTTGCCAGCAGCCAGCGAACAGGAGCAATAACTGTTTCAGGGGGACCCTCATTGAACCCATATCCTTGCCTTCAGTAGTCAAATGACGTTACTTGACTCCTGATACTTGTGTTTAGGACATGCTCTGAACCCTGAAGCTAGTTTCTCCTCTCCTTTTGCTGACCAATGTTTTTAGAGATTAAGTAGGAAAAATATGAATACATGCATACACCGAGGTTAATTCTGTGGAATATACCTTTGCGACATGTCATGACTGTGTTTTTAGTAAATAAACAGTCCTCTTTTTGTTTTGTCAATCGTTTCTAGGCCAACCATTTAAACTGGACCCCAAATCTGCACATCGCAAGCTGAAGGTGTCTCATGATAACCTGACAGTGGAACGTGATGAGTCATCATCCAAGAAGAGTCACACCCCCGAGCGCTTCACCAGCCAAGGGAGCTACGGCGTCGCGGGGAACGTGTTCATTGACAGTGGCCGGCACTACTGGGAAGTGGTCATAAGTGGAAGCACATGGTAGGCAATTCTATCCATTGTCTCCAATTATAAAAAGGCACATTTCACCCTATCCTCTGTCAGAGCATCCACCCATACCAGGGTCCATCTTGAAGAATTATATGCAGAAAACCTTGATCAGCCAGCTGTTGCTACAGTCATGCTACCTAACAAACATGCCAAAACTCAGTGGCTTCAAACAACAATCACTTATTTATTTTTTAAAAAAATATATTTTATTGATTTTTTACAGAGAGGAAGGGAGAGGGATAGAGAGCTAGAAACATCGATCAGAGAGAAACATCGATCAGCTGCCTCCTGCACACCTCCCACTGGGGATGTGCCCGCAACCAAAGTACATGCCCTTGACAGGAATCGAACCTGGGACCCCTCAGTCCACAGGCCGACGCTCTGTCCACTGGGCCAAACCGGTCAGGGCCACAATCATTTATTATTGCTCCTTAACACCCACATCTGTGGGTCAGCTGAGCAAGGCTAACCTCAGCGGGGCGTTGCTTTAAGCTGTAGATTGGATTTAAGTCTGTTCTATGTGTCTCTTCATCCTGTTTGGACGTGTGGGCTACCCAGGCCATGGTCTTCTCCAGGAAAAATATGAATAAGAATACAAGCCTGACAATGCGAGCACACTTCAAGCCCTTGCTTGCATCATGTCCACTAACTTCTCATTGGCTAGTCACATGGCCAAGCCCAAAGCCAGTGGTGCAGGAAGTATATTCCTCCCATGGAGGAGAGAAGAGGGAGTGAATATTTCCCAAGCAATCATCTAATCTATTCAGCCAATAAGAAAAATAACGTGTTGTAAGTCTATCCATTTTTTATTTATAGCAAGAATGGCAGCTAAGATGATAGAGACCTCATCCCCGGGGAGAGCTAGTATGCTAACACGGTTCTTTCATGCCTGAAAACATGGGTCAGCAGACTACAGCTTTTTTGTGAATAAAGGTTTATGGGAACAGAGTCACGCCCATGCTGTTCCATTTTGTCTGTAGCTGCCTTTGAGCCACACAGCACTGAGCAGTTATGACAGAATCCTATGGTCCACAAAGCTGAAAAATTAACTCTCTGACCCTTTATGGAAAAAGTTTGCCAGTACCTACTGTGAAACTTTACTCTTCATTCTTTAAAAAAACCTAATTTCTATTGTTTTGTACATGGTGTGCTTTTAGACTGGGCTAGTTGGTGCAAATGGCGGAGAGCTATAGGCTGTGGGGAAGTGGTGATCTTAGGCTGGGAATCTCTTCACAAGGCCTGGTAGATCCACCTCGGAACTTCAGCCTAAAACCGTGGTCGGCAAACTGCGGCTCGCGAGCCACATGCAGCTCTTTGGCCCCTTGAGTGTGGCTCTTCCTAAGCCTTGGGAGTACCCTAATTAAGTTAATAACAATGCACCTACCTAGATAGTTTAAGTTTAAAAAATTTGGCTCTCAAAAGAAATTTCAATCGTTGTACTGTTGATGTTTGGCTCTGTTGACTAATGACTTTGCCGACCACTGGCCTAAAAGGTCAGGGTGCAGTCTACGTTGGAATTAGTTTACCTTGCCAAGTGAACCTCACAAAGCTGCCTTTGCCTATACCAGAGCCACAAACTTCACGCCTTACTCTGGCCGGCTGGCTCACGAATACCTGTTTACTATTGCACAAAAAGGGAGCTCTTTTATTTTTATTTAACCAGCCCTCATCTAGCACAGCTATGTGCCAGGCACTAGCCTTGGATTTTACAAATGTTGACTCATTTATTCTAACAACCCTACACAGGTAGGTGCTAGTGCCCCGTTTTACAGAGGGGGTGACTGAAGCACATGCCCAAGGTCACAAAGCGCATAGGTGGCAGAGTTAGGAAGTCTGCAATCAGAGTGCAAGCTCCTAACCGCAGGTCTGCAAGCATTGCCTGTAACGGGCCGGAGAGCCAATATTTCTGGTTTTGCAGACCAGGTGATTTTTGTCGCAATTACTCAACTCTACTTGTAGTGAAGCAGCCATAGACCATATGTCCACAAATGGGTGTGGCTGTGCACCAATAAAACTTCACTTATAAAAAGAAGCAGATGGCCAGATTTGGCCTGTGAGTTGTAGTTTGCTGATCCCTGCTCTTAACCAACCTGCTATATTTTCGAAACATAATTACTCTTTAGGGCAGCGGTTCTCAACCTGTGGGTCGAGACCCCTTTGGCGGTCAAACGACCCTTTCACAGGGGTCGCCTAAGACCAGCCTGCATATCAGATATTTACGTGACGATTCATCACAGTAGCAACATGACAGTTATGAAGTAGCAACGAAAATCATTTTATGGTTGGGTCACAACATGAGGAACTGTATTTAAAGGGCCAGAAGGTTGAGAACCACTGCTTTAGGGCTTACAGTGGTGTGCTTAATGAGTAGTAGCTTAATCCTTGCTTTAGAAAAGGCTTAAAAGTGCATAACCTGGTGATGATGAGTATTATAACAGCGCAATTTTGAGATAAAGATGCTAAAACATTTATTATAAAAAAAGCTTTCAATTCAAATTTATGCAAATCATACATTGTGCCTAAGTGCCTTATAGTATTAGCACAAGTCAGCTGACATCTAAGTGAAATCACAAGCTTGAGTGTCTCCTTTCTCCCAACGCTGGTCCCTATATTGGCTAACCAAGGAGACTTTCTTCTGTTGTGAGCATCACAATTCTCTTTGCCCAGAACCTTTTCCTGTTCCAACGTCCTGTCGGAGGATGGAAAACGAATCCTTCCGCCCCACTCGGCTCTGGTCCAGGCTGGCATGTACAGTTTTTAGCTGCACTGGGGCAAGATAAAAGCCCAAAGGACAATACAATGAATTTTTGCAGGTGCAAAAGAGCAAACTTTACTAGTTCATTAACGTGCTATATTAATCTGGGATGGAAACCAGTGTCTAAATAATTACAAGCCCATTAATAATTATTTATGATAAATTATACCTGATCATTATGATCTCATTCCCATTGATGAATGGTGCGGGAAATCCCACCAGACCACTTCAGTTATATAAACGTAGATCAGCATTACCTTGAAAACACCCTCCAGATGTCAAAACCAACTCATGAGGGGGAGGAAATTTAAAATTAATTGCCACCCTTTGGATTTTTGCAAACGTGATTATGTCCATTTCAGAAAAATTCTCGTGTAGAACATGGTTGAACATTTCCTGGGAGGTTTTAGTGAGCAAGGGGTGACCCTTACAATCAAATTCCTGTGACACCTTGATTTGCAACAGCTAATGACATTTTCTCATGAAATATAGTCTTGACTTTAACATGCATGTTGTGATCCATGCAATGGGGCATGTTAACATTGCTCTGAGAAACAGAATTTTTATCCATTTTTAATTCTCCGAGTCTCACTGTGTAACTTAATGGAACATTACCTTCTGCCTGCTCCTTTCAAGTTCAGTAGAAATATGTGCATCGGTTTTCAGATTAATGATAATATAATGGTATTTTCCTTTGCTTAATGGACTGTACACATAGTTATTTTCTTACTCTCTGATGCTGTTCATGTGCACTTGGTTTTGATGAAATGGTGTTAAGTAAACAGGGGTTCACAGAAGTCAAGGGGAAGAGGGCGAGATCCTGAATTTTGCTGCTAATTTTAACCTTCTCTGTGTTTCCCCATTTGCTGAATGAAGTCAGTCATACCTGCAGCAGCTACTTCATAGGGGGTTCAGTTAAGGTTCAAGTTGGCAATAAAAGTCCAAGTTCTTTAATAAAAAATAAAAATGGTGTGCAGCAACCAGGAAACAATACAGACATATGGCTATTTTGTGATGCAAATATAGGTTCCAAATGATCTGAAAAAAAAATGGCAAGGGTGTCTACCAGCACATAGAGGCCCTCTATGAGGAAAATACACACAATTACAAAACAAAAATATTTTCAAAGTGTTTCAGTTAGGGTTCAACAGGAAAACAGAACTCACCTTGGGTTCTTCAAGGAGGAAGGGGACCAGAGGCTTACCTGGAGCCCGGCAAGGGCTGGAAGCACAAGTCAGGGAGCCTGCTGTGCCCGTCTATGAAGTCTCGACATGCTAGGGGTGCTAGAAGGCTCCCCACAGCCCAGATGCAAGTATGCCCAGGAGCTCACCCAGAAGCTTCTGGAAACCTTGCCTCTGCTGTCTGGAAAAGAGCGTTTCCCTTCCTCTTAGGACTTCTGGATCTTGTGCCAGGGAGTTGCCATGGCAGACCCTGATCCAGACTCCTACTGGGAAGAATATTCTGGAAAATGTAGCCCAGGATTCTCCCTATGATGTAGGGCAGGATATATGAAAGGGAAGAGGAGGCTGAACTGATGGCAAACAGGTTGGCACACTGAGATGAATGGATTGCCAATTCCATTTCTTTTAAATCAATGATGGTGTATTATATTCAGTTTTAAACATGCTACTCTTAAAGTGATTGTATTTTAAACCCAACATGTGCTTTTTAAAAGAATGTCATTTTATCAAAGACCAATGAAGTTTTTCTCTGCATTGGGTATGGTACCTTATGTCAATCTAGTTAGACTAGTTTCTGCTATAACATTTTTTTTTAAATATATTTTATTGATTTTTTACAGAGAGGAAGGGAGAGAGATAGAGAGTTAGAAACACCGATGAGAGAGAAACATCGATCAGCTGCCTCCTGCACATCTCCTACTGGGGATGTGCCCGCAACCCAGGTACATGCCCTTGACCGGAATCGAACCTGGGACCTTTCAGTCTGCAGGCCGATGCTCTATCCACTGAGCCAAACCGGTTTCGGCCCTGCTATAACATATTAAAAGTTGAACTGAATCATTCACTCTTTTTAAAAATGTTTTTATTGATTTTTTTAGAGAGTGGAAGGGAGAGGGAGAGAGAAAGAAACATGGATTAGTTGCTTCCTGCAACCACCCGAACCAAGGATCAAACCTGCAACCTGGGCATGTACCTTGACCAGGAATCGATCCAGCAACCTTTTGGTGCATGGGACAAAGTTCCAACCAACTGAGCCACACTGGCCAGGGCTGACTCATTCACTCTTTATTAGAAGGATGGGTTTCACCTGTCTTCATAACTGAAATATTACAAATATTACGGAGCCTTACCTTCATGGGGTAAAAGATGAAGAAGCTTAGAAGATTGTAGAAAGAATTATTAACATAGTTTTGAGCAGTGAGAGGACATTTAGAATAACCAGGATATCATCTGCTCAGACATTCACAATTTTAAGTGTAGTAGGAAATATAAGCAGAAGGGCTCTTGGCAGTGATGAATTCCACAATTTCTGGTGAAGGAAAGCATTAGAGAATGTTGTTTAAGTTTGTGGTCTTTTGAGTCATCCTAGGTTTAAATTCTGAATCTGTTATTTATTAATGTGTCATTAGGCAAAAATAATAAAGTAACAGTTACTAAATGTTCCAGTCCAGGATTTTACATGTATTCGTTTTTTAAAAAAATATATATTTTATTGATTTTTTACAGAGAGGAAAGGAGAGGGATAGAGAGTTAGAAACATCGATCAGCTGCCTCCTGCATACCCCCCACTGGGGATGTGCCCGCAACCAAGGTACATGCCCTTGACTGGAATCGAACCTGGGACCCTGCGTCTGCAGGCCGACGCTCTATCCACTGAGCCAAACCGGTCAGGACTGTATTCTTGCCTTTACTCCTCAAAATAACCCCCGGAGATGAAGACTGTCCCTGTCCCTGTTTTATAGATGAGAAAAGTGAGGCAAGGAACTGATCCCCGTAAGTGGAAGCCATGCTCCCTGCTTGCCTTCTGCCGAGTGCACTTGAAGTTGTGGGAAATGGCAGACGTGGCAGCAGCTGAAAAATTCAGTGCTCACTGCTTGTGCTGTTGCTGTCTTGTTCCTGCAGGTATGCCATTGGCCTTGCGTACAAGTCGGCCCCGAAGCACGAGTGGATTGGGAAGAACTCGGCTTCCTGGGCGCTGTGCCGCTGCCACAATAACTGGGTGGTGAGACACAACAGCAAGGAAATCCCCATCGAGCCCTCCCCTCACCTCCGGCGCGTGGGCATCCTGCTGGACTATGATAATGGCTCCGTCGCCTTCTACGACGCTTTGAACTCCGTCCACCTCTACACCTTCGACATCACGTTCTCGCAGCCCGTGTGCCCCACCTTCACCGTGTGGAACAAGTGTCTGACCATTATAACTGGGCTTCCCATCCCAGACCATCTGGACTGCACGGAGCAGCTGCCGTGAGCACCTGGCCGTGTGGTGGTGCTTTCTGGGAAGAGAAAGGCTGTGGCCACTATTCAGGGGGCAGAGAAAGCACAGGCTTCCAGAGTGTGGTGTTAAATCTCGCCAAAAAGTATCCAGAAATCAGCTAAGATAGGTTTCAAAACGGGCTATTTCCAGCCACCCCCCTCACTGTGTTTTGTATTAAGTACAGTCTTTAATACTTTCTTCCAATTTTCTTTTGTATTTACAGGAAAATTTATAGATTATTTATAAAAGAAACATAACCGGGATTACAACTCTTTTAGGAATTATTTGGTTTTGCACATTAAGAGGCCCATACATTTATCAGCTCTTTACCTCCTTTATTTCATCACAGTCTATAACTGCGCATAACAGAAATGCAATTACTTTAAAAATAAAACATAGTTTTGAACCTAGTAGGGAAGTAAATGGGATTTCTTTGGTTTATCTTGAGGTGTTTTAACTGTGATGGTGGAAGCTTTTATTAGGTCAACTACAATGGAGAGCAAAAGAGAATGGGAAGAGTTGACCTTCGATCTTGGAATCTGCCATGGCTAAATCTTTAATTGCCTTCTGATGGCTGGTGGGCTAATGATGAAAAGAAAGATTCTGAAACCTTTGGCCATAGTTTGCCCTCCTCTTCCCAGGATTAAGGATTCTGGGAGAACATTAAGAATGATACTGCAATTGAAAATAGTCACTTTGAATCCTGATGATTCAGAAACTCAAGCTGATTTGTGTTTTATCAGAAGTAGGATTCTCTTTCATGATATAAATCTATTTCATTCTTCCTTTTCATAGTTTCTTTAGGCCTGTGAAATTTCTTCACTACATTTAATAGCTGTCCTGTCCTTCCCACCCCCCAAATCATTTCTCTTTTGTCACTGGAGCTGAGGAAATAAACATTTCCTATCACAAATGGCAGCACCACTGTGCATTGATTTTTCTCTCCAGAACATCGACACATGGCCCCACTTGCCACTACCATGTCCAAATATAAGTCATCCCCCAAACACTATTTGTGAGTTGATAATGACAAGGGACGTCGGATAAAGGACTATTTGCTAGTATACGTGCCTCCAACGTTACTATAAACTGACCGTTATTAAACACATCTTGAAAGTTGTAGAAGTCCCTCTGTATATTCTAGTATAGTTCACCATAGAGTTGTAAGACATACACAAAAAGTCAAATTTGCTATTCCCACACTGGAACCTGCCAATAGAATCTGCTAAGAGCTACGCTGATCTGACAGCTTGGAATGGTCCATGAAGTAAGGTCCAGTCCTTGGACCTGGAACTTGGCAATGGTTCTTCCTTGGCCAAGGGCATGACACCTCTAAATCGTTTCATTTGCTAACCTATTGATCCGGGCTACTGGGTCGGCCATCTTGCCTGAACAGACTGGTGGGTTTAGGCATTGTCTGTAGTGATACTGTTTTTAACCAAATCAATTGTTCCCCTGCACTCCATTCACAGACCCGCTGCTTCAGCATCACATCATGTGATTTCGAGTCTGGACTTCATGGTGGCTTCCCAGTGCCTCTGTCCTCTTCACTGGCAGATGCTCTCCTTTTTCTTAACAGATAGAGTCTATATATTTCCTATATTATTTATACCCAGATGAATATTTTGATAGCTACTTAGGACAATTTCACATCTAAAAGATGGACACCTCAAGGGGAAAAAAATCATTCTCTGGAAACTTAATAGGATTTTTTTTTATAATATAAAACAATGTGTATGTGCTTTCCCAGAGTAAACTGAAAGTGTTGTCTTAGTAATTTTTACATACTGTTTTTAGTAGTTGGAGAACAGATATTTTAATGCACTTTGTACATTAACAGGTTTTAAATAAAAGGGTCTAAAACTCATGGTCTCCAGGTACCAATAAATGCTACAGTTTGCCTTATGATGCCAATGGAAAGATTTACCAGAAGGACGATGTTTCCATGAACATGATGTTTTTCAATATTAAAGCAGTTCCTACTCAAATTTTCACTGCAAGCTGTTTAGGTGATGTTTTGACTATTTTTATAAGGACCAGGAATTATGTTATAATTTCGTTGTGGAAGTCTCGCTGTTTGCTAACTTAAAAACATTGTGGATAGTAGCAGTTACTATGTCCATGTTGTCATATTTACAAGAAAATATGTATATGGTGAAAGGCCACATTGTTTACTTTCATTGCTGTAATGATGTAGAAAAGATTGCCGTGTGGATTTTTTTTTTTGAAAGTCTGAAAAATATATGCTATATACACTTGCCGCAGTACAATTCTTTAAATGGATTGGGGTCACGGTGTTTGTTTTTGAGGGCCTTCCTTCAGAAGAAGCATCGTCATCCAGGGGAGAAAGAGATGGCCGTGCCCATTAAATGCAAACAACAAAATGGATGGAGTGCCAGTCGAGGCTGCTAGGTCCAACATCATGCTTCTGTGAACAGTGCTGTCGCCATCTTGAGATTCTTACTACTTGTTGAACAAAAGCCTGCGTTTTCATGTGACACTGAGCCTCACAAATGACGACGCAGCCAGTCCTCATTAAAAACAACAACACAACACTCAGAAACGTGGCTACAAATGAAGAAACCTGGACCCCATGTCAGAATGGCTGGCCATGTCATGCAAGTAGGAATCTCAATGGCTTAAGATGAGAAAGGGCCTGGATGAAGATGTTCTTTCCAGCTTTTAAAGAAAATGACTCCAAAAACTGACTGCAAATGTGAATGAGGGTTTCTGCTGGAGAAGAGGAAAAGGGCAGATGAGAAACAGGCATTTGATGATGGTACTGGTGTGTTGACCCTGAACTCCCTGCGGAACTGAACTAGCGCCCTCCAGTGAACGGGAAATTCCATTTTGGCTCCAGGCACGTATGCATTGATTGCAGAGACACACATGTATGCTCATTTGCATGAGCTTTTGGTGTTGGGAAGTTGATCTATCTGGTCTACCCTTCTAAAAATGTGAAAAAGAATACAAAGACAATAATGGGGGAGGGATGTGGTTTTCAGAAGAGTGCTTCTCCCCAAGGAGGCGATCTGTCAATGTCTGGAGTCATTTTTGGTTGTTCGAACTTGGGAGGGGTGCTACCGGCATCTCATGAGTAGAGACCAGGGATGCTCTCAACATCCTACAATGCACAGTGCAGCCCCCACCATGAAGAATTGTCCGGCCGAAAATATGAGTAGTGCCACGCCTGAAAAACTCTTGTTCTTTGGGGATTTTTAAAAGCAAAACTCACAAATGTTTTCTACTTTTCCTGTCATGGATTCCATGCCTGAGATATCAAAAAGAGAAGAAAAGGGCACCCCGAGATCTTCCCTGCAATGGTGCCTTCACTTTCAACATGATTTACAAAATCCTCACAAAATCTGCAAAGCAGTCCAAGCTCGTGTCAATGGGAATCCACTGCTGAGTATAATGAAGATCTGGCGCTGATGCGCTGAGTTCACAAATGGAAAGTCAGTTCTCTAGCCTGCTCGTCACCCGGACAAATTCAGGCCCTGGTACTAGTCACACTGCCAAGCCCTCACTCGGCCCAGACTATTCTCATCATTGCTGTTGCTTTCTGGTTCCAAATAAAGTCATTTTGTGGTTCCAAGCTCCTCTGTCTCTGCCTGTATCTGTTGCCTTTTCTTCATTTTGTGTTTTCACATTCACGATTTCCACAAATATCTATCCAACTTCTGCTGTTCTTTTTGTACTATGTTGCAACATATAATTGGTTTTTTCTTTATGCCTGAAATTTGCTCACGTCTACCATCCCACCTCTCTTCAGTCAAAAAGACCCAAAACAGCACCCAGGGATTAAAAAACACACACACACAATAAAAGAGAACCTATATGGGAATTGAGTCCTGGAACATGAATAGCTTGCTTTTGAATCACAGGTGGAATGGAGTGGCGAGGGAGCACAAAGATGATTTGAGCAGAGGAGTGAGGGCCGGTACCGTGTGGTCTGGAACAATCCCAGCAGTTGGTCCATAAATCTCTCCTCAGCCCCATCCCCCGGCTCACAGGACTTGACTTTCTCTCTCATTAGAGATGCAGACCCTTTTGATCCAAGTCAGTGCCGTGCAGTGTGGTCATGGGTCTGCGGCATTAGCACCACCTGGGATCTTGTTGGAAACGCCAGTTCTGCAGCCCAACCCCAGGTCTACCATCAGAACCTCAGGGGGCAGGACCCAGCAAGGTGAGCTCTAACAAGCCCTCCAGGGGATTCTCATACTAGCAACATTTTGAGAAGCGCTGCTCTGGAGGGTTTTATCCAGTCTCGTATCCCATATAAAAATGCACTTGGATCCTGAAATGTGTTTTCAAGGTAATGTGCTTTAGAAGCAGCTCGATGTAATGCAGTGATGCTTAACTGCCTGAGCATTAAAACCATTTTTTTTTACAAATGCTGATTCCTAGATCCCATCCTGAAAGATTGGGGATAAAGTCTAGAGCAGTGGTTCTCAACCTTCTGGCCCTTTCAATACAGTTCCTCATGTTGTGACCCAACCATAAAATTATTTTTGTTGCTACTTCATAACTGTCATGTTGCTACTGTTATAAATCATCATGTAACTATCTGATATGCAGGCTCGTCTTAGGCGACCCCTGTGAAAGGGTCGTTCGACCGCCAAAGGGGTCGCGACCCACAGGTTGAGAACCGCTGGTCTAGAGCGTGGCCTAGCACCCTGTACTTTTTGGGGGAAGTGATTCTAAAGTGCCCCCAGGATTGGCAGCCAATGCTATAGTCACAGGGCTCATCACCTTTTCTATAAAGGTCAGGCTGTAAGTATTTTAGGGTTTGAAGGCCATGCTATCTCTGTGGCAACTCCTCAACTCTCCAACTGTAGAGCGAAAGCCACCGTAGAGGGAATGTAAACGAATGGGTGAGGCTGTGTTCCCGTGAAACTTTACAAACAGCCATGAGGCTGCATTTGGCTCATGCTGTACTTCACCAACTCCTGCTGCAGCAGATACAACACTGGACTGGCAGCACGCAGCCCTCAGCACATGCTCTAACGTTTTCCTCACCCACTGCCCACTCAGCCATGTCCCCTCATAGCCTCAGTGAGCTCTCAGGTCCTTTCCAACTTTGAACCACATCAATTCTGAAATCACAGAACTCATGTAGAATTACAGGGCCACTAAGGGTTATTAGATGATTCTGTTATTCAACAGAGTAGGGTGTGCCAGTTCTAATGATTAGCTTTGCCACCTTCAGAATGTTGACTTAAATTAGCCCTCCTCATAAGTGACAGGTGTATAAAATATACTCCCTTTACTAAGAGTTTTGAAGTACATTTAATTTGAACTTTGAAACTGAACAGACACTGCTATAATTAATCACCTTTCAAGTCAACTTGAAGGGCATGTTATACACTCCAGAGAGTAGCCTTCCCTCTTTTTAAAATCATTTTAAAAAATACGTTGAAGTACGTAGTTGCTTGTGATTATAGTGGGAGCATAAAAAGGGAGACACGTGGAACTTGCCAAATCCTTTTCCCATGAGTATCATTCTTACTGTGGGATTCACAATCAAGAATGTAGTCATCCTGTCTTAAGGAATTCAAGTCTTTCTTTGGATCTTTTTCAGCCATGTTCTAAGACAGTGATGGTGAACCTATGACACGCATGTCAAAGGTGACATGCTAACTCATTTTTGGAGCTGATTTTTCTTTGTTAAATGGCATTTAAATATATAAAATAAATATCAAAAATATAAGTCTTTGTTTTACTATGGTTGCAAATATCAAAAAATTTCTATGTGACACAGCACCAGAGTTAGGTTAGGGTTTTTCAAAATGCTGACACGCCAAGCTCAAAAGGTTCGCCATCACTGTTCTAAGAGAATTATAAAAGTATCAAATAGGTAGTATAGTAATTAACAAGCAAATATGTCATGACTGAAAACCAGTCACCAATTAAGGAGAGACACGGAAAATGATTTAATGAACATTGATTCTTTTGCATGGTCTACTTATTCCCCAAGCTCAATTTTTTTATTATGTTCATTCAAAGCTGTTCAGTTTCAGCCAAATATTTCAGATAATAAAGCTTGTCTCACCCCTTCCCTAAACGTATTCTCCCTTCAGCATCTGCCCTCTCTCACCTCTTCTTTTCTGTCAAGTTTCTCAGAAGGTTGTTCAGATTTCTGCTTCTGTTTCCTCAGCTCCCATTATACCTCCATACCTTCCCACACTCCATCAGGCTTCTGTGTCTTTACTCAAACAGTGCTCACTGATGTGAAAAGTAGTGCCTGCATTAGTACATATTCCCATCGATGTTTGGCCTCGTCTTGACATACAGCAGCTTTGGGGATGTTGACCACTTCCGTTTTTTCCTAATCTCTTCTTAGGCAATGCCATCTCCTCCTCCACCATTTTGTGCAGATGCTACCAAATTTAAATATCTACATCTAATTTCTCTGCTGAGATCAGCCCAATATACTGACGTCTAGGATACCTAAGGGGCACCTCAAATTTGACATGTCCAAAACTGCACTAATGATCTCTCCCCAGAACCTTGCCTTATCCAACCAGTTTTATGAGTCGAAACCCAGAAATTCATGTTTCATGTCTTCCTCGCCCTCCATGCCCACTGATCACCAAGTCCTGCTGATTTTCATTGTTTTTATTATTGACTTAGAGAGAGAGGGAGAGAAACATCGATGTGAAAGGATCACATCAATCAACTGCTCTTGCACACCCCGCACTGGGGATTGAGTCCGAAACCTGGGTATGTGCCCTGACCGGGAATCAAACTGGTGACTTCTCAGTGCATGGGACAATGCTCTTTAACTGATTTGCACCTCTCCACATCTACACACAACCTCCAAGTTCAAGGTTTCACACCTCTGCCTCCACAGCTGACATAACCAGCTAACTGAAGTTGAACTTATATAATTGTCACTTGCTGGCTCAGCTCATCCCACATGACACACAATCCAGGTGCCAAAAAAATGAGCTCTAGGGTATCACTGTCAATTTGGCCTTGGAGAAGATCCCCTCTGACTTTGGTGCCCCACCTCCTTGATAGTTCCACCCAATTTCCCAGAAACAGACTCCCTGTTCTTCAAGACAGTATCACAGAGTCCCAGCTTCCTTTCTCATTTCTTCTCTGTAGCTGGATTCTGTCCTTAAACTCCCTCTGACATGATCTTCAGCATATATTGTGAACTTCCTAGGCGGCAGCAGCCCTCCACTTGGAATTTTACCCAATGCCTATGTTTCCAGCTTGCTCAACTTGACCTTAAGTCATCAACTGGGTTTGTTGCCATGCTTCTTTGTGTGGGTTGATTTCTCTGTTTTCCTTCATTATTTCAGAGCTGTTCCCATATTCCCAGCTCTGTTGCCTTGCAGCCCCTTTAAACAAACTGGTCACACCCACATTTCCCAAAGATACAGTGACTCAAGAACAACTCCAGGCTCATCTATCCTATACTATTTTTAACCAAGAAACTCACTTTAAACAATAAAGATATTATCGAGTTCCAAAATGGTGGCAGAGTAAGTGGAAGCTATAATGACATGCTCCCAGGACCAAACTGGAATTACAACTAAAATATAGAAACACTATCCTGAATAATCAACTGAAGACTAGCTGGAGAGAACCCTGATAACCAAGGACAGAAAGTGGAGACCACATAGAGACTGGTAGGAAGTGCAGAGGCATGACAGGGCTGGCCAGGCTCCCACAGACAGCACCTGAAGTTCCAGAGGGTTGTCTCAGCTGGGGGGGGGGTTCCCATTGAGAACACTAGAGTCAAAACCCAAGCTGGGATCCCTAGCCCAGAGCACCAGAACTGAGAAAGGTGGCCACATAACATCAGGATGTGAAAAGCAGCAGAATTGTCTGCCAGGGAGAGATGGCTGGACATGCAGGCACTCTCTTAAAGGGCCAATGCATACAATTTTGGGTGCAGCCACTCACCTTGGGGTTTGGCCGAAGAAGGGCAAATTGGACTAGAGTTGTGTGAGCAGAATCCAGGGTTGGGATTTTTGGGGTTAGAGATCAGAAGGCAGCCACTCTGATTTCCTGTGCTGAGTCATTACCACATACTGCAGAGGACAACTTTCTCCAGCAGACCTTCACCATCCAGGCCTGGGGGGAGGAAGCAATTGTCCTACCCTGTTAGAAAACCTCTAGCCCCACCCTGTGGTTGATAGCCTGAAGCTAATCATGACTGTAGGCAGAGGGGGATCTCTGGAGGCTTTAAGTCTTTGCCTGATCTTCTGGGCCTGGGGCTAGGAAAAGCAGACCTTGGTGCACAGCTTGTTCCTTCCCAAAGGTACCCAGCCCCAGCAAAGCCCTAAACTGTGGATTGCTGATAGCTCCAAACAGGGTACTCCGAGCCAGTCACAAACAGGATCTGACATTGTCCTGCACCAGAGATTAGGAGTCATAGCAGATCTACCTAATGCATAGACACAAAGCCAAACAGGCATCCAAAATGGGTAGACAAAAATACAAGCCCCCAAAGAAAAAACAAGAGACTCCTCCAGAAGAGCTAAATGAAATGGAGATAAAAAATGTATTAGATATAGATTTCAGAATACTGATGAAAAGGATGCTCAAAAACATGAGAAAAGATATAGTAAGTATGAAAAAA